CATTGAATTACTCAGTATTGGTCTCTTTTCTTCTACCTCCTTGAGGTAGGTTCAGAGCTCATCTATGCCTCCAAAGGGGAGTTACTGTTACAGGAAAAAATGTAGGAGTTCACATTGTCTAAGCAAACCTAGAAGTGTGTAACTGATGATATACAATCAACTGGCAGCCACTAATTATAATATACCTTCTATCAATTTCAGTAACAGATGAGATAAATCATGATACCAGGCACTTAAAACACTTCATTGAACATTGCACATTTCTAAACATCCTTCTGTAAATGCTCTCTGTTGCTCTGGTGGCATCTGCTCATTCACCCATGTTTATCCAGCCTCTGTCTCACAGGCAACACAGGTTAGACACAGTCCTGCTCTCCCTTCTTTCTGCACCTCTGCTTGCAGAAGTGGGGGCCCTGCTCTGTGGGTGCCCATTTCACATGTACCCACGCAGGTCCTGTGCCCATCCTTACATCCCAGTATTCCCTGAAATCTGGGCAGAAGCTGTGGTGCCAGCAGGCTGATTTGTGGCAGTGCCTGACCAGGCTTTGGCTGCTGCTTTCTCCACCACTTCTTTCTCCACTCCTCCACTTTCTGCTGCTGCAAATTTTCCTGCTCCTTTTCTGTTATTTTCTAAGCTGACTACTTTGTTCCAAAATTCACTTTGTAATTTCCTGGTTACAGTTTAACCTTATTGATGGTCGCATTCCTCTGCATTATGGTTAAGTTTGGTCAAACATCATCCCAGACAGTTTTGCAAACTCCAGGTACACAGGTGATGGTGTCCATGGGTAGGCTGTGTGAGCACTCCAGTGATAGATCTCCTGTCTGTCTTCAGTGCCTCACTTAGATTCTCCAGGGGAACCAAGCAGTTTCAGATCGCAATTAATGTCACTGTTTTGAGACATCTACTTTAGGATGCCATAAATTATGCTCTTCAAGCATCTGTGTGCTGCAGTGAGGTGTAAAGGGAACTTAGACATGTAGCTTGTACATAGACATAAGCTGTGCAGTCTTGTAGTGTGGGATTCCTCTGCAATATTGGCACCTGAGAGAATTTTCTTCATGTGAGCTGTGTCTCTGAACACCTGTCACAATCAGCAGAGAGCTAAGCGGTGCAGTCAGTAAAGGAAGGTATGCTAAGTTTGATTTTATGGCCATTCCCAATATTAGTTAAGGAAAATCTTTCTTGTTTTTTTCATCAGGAGGTAAGATTGTTTAGGAATGAGCTAGAAGGCAATCTCAGAAAGATCACTACAGTTTGGTTGTATACTCTTTCTCAAGGCAATCCTCAGATGACCATTCAGGTAACTGTGCCAGGCTGCCCCAGCAATTCTCCTGAGAAATTAATTTGCAGAAAAATTGCCAGAGGAAAATCTTCTTGAGGGAATTACTACAGTCATCATAACTTTCAGCCCACTGAGTGCCACACTCTTCCACTCTTCAGGCTCCATGGCTCTATGCATGAAGTCTGCAAATCAGAATTCCTTTGTCAACTAAATTGCATTTTTTCAATGTGTCAGACCTTTACCTGATGATTCGAGGAGCCAGAGGGATCTGTGTCATTGAGATTATAAGGCTACTTTTAGTGACTGCAGATTTTAAAAACTAGATGTCAAAATGGGTAAAAAAAAAACCATCATAAAATTAATATTGAGTTGGCTTTTTTTTTCCCCCAGTGGCTTTTCCTAAAGCAAGAATTTATTGGGCAGTGAAAGGTCAATGAGTTTAAATTAATCTGAAGAGTATTTCTAGTTCATTCTGCCTTTACAGAAAATGTGTACTTGATCCATGTAACTTGACTGCATTAGCACACTTCTGTAAGGCATTACATAAACATTTGGAACATACTTCCACCTGTAGGAGTCCAGCATTTGGGTGAACACCTTCAAGCTTCTGAGAAATCTTGCAGTTCTGTATATAATGGTGTCATTGTATAAAATAAATATGCACGTCTGCATTTATTCTTACAGCCTACCAAAATTTAAACCCTATTCCTCTGCTTAAAAATTGGCCAGCCAGAGGTCAGCTTTCTCCCAGAATAGGTTCCTGTAATTGCCAGCAGTATTTCCTACTCTGTCCTCTTTAAATTGTTCGAGGCTTCTGTTAATCACACTCTATCAATGGTGAGGGTGCATTTTGCTGGGCAGGCAGTCTCTTTCCTCTGAAAGGCAGAGGATCAACATCAGTGGTGGTCACTTGAAGAAACCTTCAGCTCTTTAGTATTTTGCAGTTGAACACAGATATTGATATACTTTTATTCACTCAGAAGAACCTGAGGTTGCTGCAGATTTTCACACATTATCAGCCTTAACCCATACACTTCAAATTTTTCCTACCTGTTGCTGTAAATCATGTGGAATCTGTTGAAGTCAAATCTAATCTGAACTTGTTTAAATAGGATTTTTAGATGAATTGGAATTTAACCTGAAGTATTCATCGTATCTCTATTGGTCCTGAACCAGGCTGACTAAATATTTATTTTTAGCCATTGGCATAGAATAAACATTGGTTTAAAACCTGATATCCTCTAATGAGAACCTGTTGAGCAATGTTTCTTTTCTAGGCTGGCTAAGGAGAGCTGTAACTAAAATACAGTTTCTTGGAGATGCCAGTTTTATTTTATGCCTGTTTTGATGGCAACAGTTTAATAATAGCCATCAGGATGCTCTGAGTACCAATAGGGCAAGCCAGCCTGTCTTTATCAATTGTTACTAGAAATGTATGCATTACGTATCCTTTGTGTTTATGTACTTGGAAATTGATTGATGGTGAGAGAGCAGATGAGCTAATGGCACTCTTGCTCTTCCTTCCACTAATCCCCACCTCTCTTTATTAAAATCTTCAATTACTTATGCTCCCTGTGCAGCACAATAGCACATCTTACTTAGTCCTTCAATACCCACTGTGGATTTATGAAGTTAGTTACTCTGTGCAAGCCACAGTAGTGGAAACGTAAGTTGTGTGCAGAATCTGGCAGAGGTGCTGGAAATAATTGCAAAATTCAGCTGAAGAGCCACCTTGATGAAATGGGCCTTCATTTTAATTTTTAAATATATTAACATGAACAGTTTAATAAACTGTGTTTGTCCTGATCAAGGAACTAACCACCTTGGTGAGATGAGCCTTCATTTTAATTTTTTTCTTTATTCACATGAACAGTTTAATTAACTAGTTTGGTCCTGAACAAGGAACTGAAGTGGAACAATTTCCCTTGGAGATGAATCTGAATCAGAACTGATCTGAAAAATGTGGAGCTTCTTGTTCTTAATCTTTGTACCACTCTGTGGGAGAAACACAGCTTTGGTGGTCTTAGGCTTTGGGAAAAAAGGACTCCTTCTCAGCCTGTTTTGGAGATGAAATAGACTGTGATGTGAGGAGCTGTATAATCTCTAAATAATGCCCCATAGGCTCATGGAACTGCAGTAGACATGAAAAACATTCTACAGTGTAGAAATACAGTGTGATTTAATTCAAGATATCAGCATCAGGCAAACATAAAAAAAACAGAGTTGAGTCTATACGTGCAACCTTTGCTGCACCACTTGCTGCAGTCACAAGTTTAATTTTATAACTTCAGGCATGTATGTTGTTGTCATTTTTTCCCTACTGGCATTTCAAACAGTAGGCATTTCCCTACTGGCATTTCTTTACTGAAAAGACGAAATAAAGTCACAGGCACTATATACCTTCAGCACAGATCTGTGCATGGGTCACCATTCTTTTAGTCAATAAAACTTGGAAAGGCAATCACTTGTTGAAATAAAAACAGAGGTGATAAGAACAGGAAGGCAAACAGACCAAATTCCTACCCTTCAATTATTTACCAGCACAACTGGATGGAGTTAGTGAAACCGAAGAGAGCAAAAGCAAGGGAGGATCAATGTTAACTGCATCAATCTCCCATGGCTGACTGTAAGCAATGTTACAGCATTTTTTAAAAAGGAAATTGAAAAGTGCCTATTACATTTAACTGCAGTATGCTACCTGAAGAAACACAAAGCCATTGATCTGTGCCAGTGCAGACCCGTGTGCTTGAAAGTATTTATGCTCAGAAGGGAAGATTCCAAAACTTTCTAGAAAATACTGTGGACTAGGGTATAGAGAAGAATGCTCTAAATTCTGGTGTCAGCACAGCATAGCACATCACCAGGAACTAGTGCTGTATGCAGAGATCCTTACTGGGTCTGTTCCTGTTCAGCATCTTTGTTAAATGCCTGGATGATTAGGCAGAGAGTACACTCAGCCCAATGATAACTCTAATGGAAATATGGTTCAAAGGCAGCCCCTTTCTTAGCACCAGGCACTCTGACACTACAAAACCTGCCTATGTCCCACTCTTCACTGGGTCTCTGTGCTGCTCCAGTTGTTTCCCTGAATCTCTTTCTGAAGTGATGATCAGGGTGAATTTGCATGAGTGATGAAAGCACCTGAGGACAGCACTGTGCAGGTCAGTAAATATGCCATTGGGAGGATTCATAAGTCTGAAAACCACAGAATATGCAGAGTTTGGTCCAAACACAGGCTGAAGTGGCTGATCATTTTCCCAGCATCTTTCTTCTATACTCTATTTAAAGCTTCTTGACTGGGGGTAAGGATGTGTAGTCAAGGTCCAGTGGGACAGCCCTTGGCACAGTATGTTAGGAAAAGAGAAGGCTTTTACTTTGAGTTTGCTATTACCCACTGATGAAGATACAAGTGGTGTTTTGAGGTTTTTTGCCTAGAACCAGTGACAGCAAAAGGTTTTATCAAAGTAAGCTTAGATTCTGAGCAATATTTTTAAAATCATTCATAGATTTTGTTTCTGATATACTTATTTGTAAATAAAATGTCATTCTCTATTATGTGCCGTGTGGAGCTTTTCATTCCACTTTATTGTACAAATGAATAAGAATTTAAGATGATATTCCAAGGCAATTTTTATTTCTATCAGTCTTTTAATTTATGATTTTAAGCACTGATTTACTGTAAATGCTCAATAATATATGTATTCTCTTTCACAGCTGCAAAAGTTTTTTGAGATATTCTTCAGAAACAGTTCTCCCCAACAAGCCTTCAACAACATGAAGGAGGCTATAAACAAACTTCTACTTGTAACTGAGGTCTTCAGCAAATCATCTGCCTCAGGACCAAATTCTTTCAATCAGTAAGTGAATTGCAGTAGTCATTGTAATGCTAGTGTCAAGATAGCTCCTTAGAACAGAATAAAAATTGCAGAAGATACAAGAATCTTAAAATAAAAAAATCCGATCTATTTCATACTTCTTTATAAAGTAAGGACATGCTGTGTTTAAGGAGTACAACTCTTCAATATCCCCAATGTTTCTAATTTGTGAAAAGGTTCTGATGAATACTTAGGGCCAGATGCTGTCCTAATGAAGTGTTTCAGGCAGCAAAAATGAACAGAAATCACTTGCAATTGGGCTAGTCCTAAAATACATGAAGCTGTATTTCCTTTCAGTGAGCATTCTGTCATATGTCAAGTATTTAATGCTAGAGTAGCCCAGATTGTTCAGAGCTGGCTCTAGCAAGCAATCTTAACAAGAGACACTGTAAAACACTTCATAAAGTGTATGCTATGAAATATAGGCACCAACAGTCACATTTCTGTGTGTAATCACTACTATTAGTGTTATAATTCTTACACATAAATCAACCTCAATTATGTAGTATTTTTACTAAATAAAATTATTATTTGTTTTATGTACGTTATGTCCCATCTCTGACATTTTTATGATAAGTACTAAATAAGTTGCTATTTATTAAATTTATGTGTTTAAGCCTATTTTGAGAACTAGGTGTTTTAGTAGCAGTAATGTAAAGCTCATTATTTGACTTACACAAGTTGGGAATAAAGCTTACATTGTGAGTGGAGAGGGTAGCAAAGAGTGGAGGAGTGTAATGGGGATGAAGCTATTTTGACAGTGGTCCAAAATCCCGTTTTTACCAATGAAATGGACTCTCTTGTTTATGAACACAAGACTTGCTTATAACTCCTGGTCCATGCCTCCAAACATCCCCATAGCTGCAGCAGAGCTCTTTGCTCAACTGAGCCAGGAGTGTTTCACCATCACTTCCCCTCCAAATATCTTCAAAGCTTTTGCAGGACCTCATTCACTCTCTTCAAAAGGCATTTTTTCCTTCAACATAATTCACCTCCCTCTATGTCAAACATTAAAACCACTTTTATACAGCACTATTTTGATCACCTCATAATCTGATTCCTTCTGTATTTAATGCTGCTGACTCTTCTTAGAAATTTATTTAGTCTGTGTCACATGTTGTTTCTTGGCCTATGTGTGTATGTTTTCCTGCATGTGTTCTCTGGACCTGTGTATGTATTGGATTTTACTGTGTATAGGGACATGGTTGAATTATGGGCTCGGCAGTGCTAGGTTTGTGATTGGAAACAATGATCTTACAGGTCTTTTCCAGCCTAAATTATTCTATGATTTTGTATTTCACAACAGTACCTACCCTCACTGAAACAGGTTCCTTTTATGTTGTATTTCAGATGCAGCCAATGTTTTCAGATGCTTACCTTTGACATTGGATTCGACATGTCCATACACCCAGTAGTTCTAAAGGTGAGAAAATTGCACAAATTATTGCTTCACTCAACAAAATTGCACCAAAAACACAGCAGAAAAACCTCTTTGATAGGTACCCTCAAATGTCTAAGAAATGTACCAACACTTAATATTATTTTGGCTGATTGTGAAGAGTTTCTGTAGAAGAAACCAGTTTTTAAGAGTCAGAGTTCCCATGATGAAATTCCCCAGACCATCAAAATGTGCAAACTTCTCAGTTTACAATAAAAGATTAGCTATTACCCCAAATGAATATCAGTGAAACAAAATCCATAAGAAGCACTGCATAAGAGTGGAGTTAGGTTTTAAATGTGACAGACCAAAGATGAATAGAGGAAATTAAAAAACCACAACTGGCTTTTAATACAAATTAAAGTTCTCCATAAATTGGATTGTACTTCTTCATTTCATTACCTGCTTTGACCTCCACTGTGCTGCCTTCTTCCTGGATGATCCACAAGGCCCTTAAACCAGGGAAATGAGACCTGTTCCAGTTTTTGTACCAGTCCTGCCTCAGAACAACCTGTCCTGAAGCAATTATTGTACTGCTTTCCAGCTGTTCTCATTACCTCATATATACACATGAATATGCATATGCCTAGGTATGTAACATTATATTTATGATATACAAACATTAACAAAAATTAGTTAATATATCCCCACTTAAAATCTGTTCAAGTGTCTTGTAATAACAATGCAGTCAATCTCTGCATTCTTCAGAAAAAAAAATCCTTTAAACACATAGGAAAAAAGCACATATGAAAGGAAGGAAGTTTGCAGAATTTAAAAAGTCAATGAAGACAACATTTTAAATTAGTCTAAGAAGACTTATTTAGCTAGTATAAGAAATGTGGTATGTCATAACAGCTCAATAATTGTACACCAGGCTGTAAAAAAATTATCCCAGAAGAGCTTAAAAAATAAAACATAGCATTTGCCTTCCTCCATAGAAATTTCAAGTATTATCCGTTACCCATAAGTTTATAGTAAATTAGTAGGATTTAGTGTTTTCTTCTGAAAAAACAAATGTCTCTGGAAAATAGCTGTTGATAATTAATGCAACATTGACTTTGATTATTATACCTTGTAATTTATATTATGCACACAACCTATTCATATTGGTTCTATATTTGTGTTTATTAATGTTTTAGTCATATTTCATAAAAAATGAATTTGTTAATTGTGTTTATATATTGTAAAACTTATACTTTCTTCCATAATAACAGATGTTCTGTAGTAATCCTTATCACATGAGTTTTTCATCAGTTATATTAGCATATAATCTGATATTTTATATTTTTAATCAAATTTCCAATCAAATACGGTAAGAAATCTGTTCACACGTGTCCGCAATACTGCACTCTGTCCACTGGAGAGCAGCAAACATTGCGGTATGGAGTTGGGACAGACGATGTGGCACAGCTCTTGTTGTTTTACAATATTGTCAGTTTGTGTTATTATGTCTTTTTAAAAGTTCCGGTTTAGTATTTATTGCTATGAGAAGACTGGACTTTTTATTTAAACTGTAAATTTTTATATTTTTTTTCTAACAGGTGCATGAAAACTTTGACTTCCAAGTTGACAATGAATCGACTACTCAGGACCAAATTTCCAAAGAACTTCTTTTTGAAGATACATTTAAATTTCTCTTATCTAATGAATCCTCAACATCCAGTTTCATAGAAGCTTTGCAAAAAATATATGAATCATCTGTGAGCAAGGTAGTTAATTCCAACTTTTTTGTATTATTATTTGAAAATATTTAATTTTAAATTGTGTACTTCTGAAATTGTTGGTGTCAGCTTATAAAATGGTTTTATTTAATCAGAACCATCTTTTATTGTATGCTGTGGAGTAAGACTGTTATTATATTGAACAATTTAATTTTTTTTGTAAAAATTCCTCTCTCAAATTATGTCATTTTCAAAAATACTGTGATTGAAAGATATATTTAAAGCTTTAAAAATCAATTTTCCCACTCTTTTTTAAAATGGCCTTTTTTTAATATAAAGATTTGTGTGTTTTCACAATTTCATCCAGAATTGGTTAACTCATGCATGGAAATCCATGAGCATCAGAATTAATTTTTTTTCCTACAACTTTGTGTCTTATTTTCAATGCAAGATCCAATTCCACAATTTATTTTTCATTTATAGAATCTGCATAAATTTTACTTCACTAGTGAAAACCATTTCTGACAAGCAGACATCTCTTTCAACAGTATTTCTCTCAGTCTAGGAACTTCTAAGGATGCCTTTCTGAGGAGTCTGTTGCTTGAAAGACTTACAGGGACTAAATTATCCAGGCAACTTCCACCTCTTGGACAGATGTGGCTAAAACAGGGTCATGGGTTCTAAATTTATGTCAGGATAAAGTAGAAAGGTGCAGATATCCAGCCATGCAGTGATATGATTACACAGCCCGTGCTCCAGAGACTAGGAGTTTCTGTGGGTTTGTTTCTAGACAATGCCAGGGCACAATCTGCTTTATTCTAGACTTAATAATGAGCTATCTAGGAACTGGCTGGCTGAGGTTAGGGCTGGTGGAGAGCTGCTGTGACTTGTTCCTATGATCAGTGAAGGGATTGGGGTCTAATGAAAGCACATTGCTTTCCATGTGATTTCACCAGAACATGCTGACCTTTTCTTCCCAGGATGGAACAGACAACAGAGAAGCTGAGCAATGTTTCTCTTTGGAAGAGATAAATTCAATGACTACTTTCATAAAGGAGCTGAAGAGTCTTGGACAATTTGAGCTGGTAAAATAAACAGGGTTTTGTTTTATTGGATATATATTTTATGTAAATCTCTTAACATTCCTCCTTCATTACCATTCTCTGCTGTCTCTGGCATATGTAATTAGGATGGATGGGCAGGGAAGCAAGAAGATAGAGGTAACATGGATTTTATTTTGGTGGATCATTTGAATTTAATTTAAAATAAAGAAATAGAACAGAATATTTGAGCTGAGCTTCCACTGAAAAGGACAGCTAAAGCAGAAATGGAGATCAGGAAATAGAAGGAAAGGAAAAGAAGGTGAACCATGTAAATGACTAATGAGGTGGTAAGAAAATAGAATGACAGTGAAGCAAAAGCAGGAGTTAGTGGATGGACTAGAGAAAGCACAATACTGAGATCATTATCAAAGAGTAGATATAGATGAAAAAGTGGCAAAAAAGCAGGTGGAATATGTCCTCCTCTTCGTGCTTTGAGTTCATTTTTGGAGAAGAACACAGATGGAGGAAAAATAATCAGTGTCAGTGAGTAGGTACAGGTAATGAGGGAAATGTTGAGTATTCAGAAAATAAAGGATTTTCAACTGAGTCTGTTGTTCAGAAAGTGTGTATGACATCAGGATTTCTGTGAGACTTCCTGGATAAGTATTAGGGATGGAGACTGATGACACTTTCTGAAGAAGCACTGAGTCTAACGGATCTGGAATTCATAGAATCATGTGTGTTGGAAGGGGCTCAGAAGGATCATCAAGTCCAAGTCTTAAGTGAATGGCCAATACAGAGATTGAACCTGTAACCCTAGCTTCACTCTCTGACCAACTGAGCTAGCCTTAGGGCCAGTTCAGAGGCAGAGGAGATGAACTTCCGTGTCAATACTGCTAATCCTGACTTTCAAGGCTGGGCATGACAGTTCTTTTCTACGTACATGGGAAAGAGCATTCATATATAACCAGCTCTATGCTGTATATACTGTCTTCTGATAATTTTTCATATCTTTGCATTCTACAAATATCGTACTGTGTTGTCTCAAATCTCTTCTCAGCTTTTCCCTTCTTCTGCACCCAAGATCCAAATGCTGCTGCGCGACCTCTATCGAGTGCTAGACCCAATGAGGCGGCTTAGTTCAGTCCTGACTGTGCACTGGTTGCTGTCCAGTGTCCTTCAACAGTTCCAGTTCATGAATAAAGAGGCACATACAAATCTTTCAGAGTGGTAAGATAACTATTATATATGTTGAAGGTATTTTCTTAAGTTATATAATTGGAATATCTCCAGCGAGCATCATAAAGCTTAATCTTTCAGTAGATGTAAGTGTACTTGCAACCCTTGAGATGAAGTTTGATCATCCCACTTAGAGCCCTGACAGCCATTCTGCTGTCAGAACTGTAGCTAGGTTCCTAAGTAGAACAAGTTTTGCTTCTCTATCTAATGTGAAGGACTCTGGATTGAAAATTAATTAAAACTATAGTAAATTCTTAAAAGAAATATTAATTAGGTACATTTTCTTTTCCTAAACAACTGTAAACTCTAAATCATGAGCATTTCCCAGGGTTAAGACTGTCTTAATTTATGCACCAATTAGAAGCAAAACTGTACAGAAAATATAAAATTTCAGGTGAAGATTTTTTCCAAAATAATTAATAATTTTGATTGGCTCCAACTTTTCTGTCCAACAGAAAGGTCAGAAAGCATAATACTCCGAGAACATGATTTTAACTCCTTGTGAAAAGATGGAAAAAATGTTGTAATGACAAGGTTAGATCCACTGAACTTTTGCAAAGAAATTGTAACTTTCCTGAGGAGGAAAAGAGGAAATGAAAGACAGAACAAGGAAAGAAGAGAGGGAGGGAGGGAGGAAGGCAGGAAGGCAGGGAAGGAAGGCAGGGAAGGAAGGGAGGAAGGAAGGGAAGGAGTAATCATAGTATAAAATTTTTCAAAATGTGTTTTCTGTTTTCATTATCTCTTAGCTAATAGTGTTTCATATACATATATGCCATACTGACTACTGACATTTATGACATACAAACAAGGGCTTGGCAACAGAGGCATATTAGACAATGTGTATGTTCCATTCCACTGAGTCTCAAGATGAATGTGTGAATGATACTAGTACATGCATTTTGCTGGGAGAATGCTATAGTGAGTATATAATGCATCTGTAAGATTTAAGTTTTAATTTTGTTCCTCACTGAATTGGGCAAATTTCACCAAATCAATAATTATCTGTATGTTTGTTTGCTTTACTGTAAAGGGGGGCTTATACTTTATCACTGTACTAGGTGTCTGTTTATTAGAGTTTTAAATATACACAGTTCCATGAAAGTGCTACATTATTGTTATTACTGCCGACCACTCTGATCTCTCCCATGAGAAGTAACTCAAAGATGCAGCTGCTTGCATTCATATATAAGCCCTTGCCCTTTTGCAGAAATATTTAGGTTTGCATATCAAAGCATACCAGCCTTTAGCAGCTTTCTGTTCTAATCTAAGCTGTGCCACTCACTCACTTTGAGCAAGCCCCTTGGCCTCTTTTTTCTCCTTCAAGCTCAACATTATTGTATGTGTATAAATATGTAGAAGTACCATGACCTTTCTCTAGGGCATAGGCCAATCTGCTTCTTTGCTCTTTATTCTTCTGCAGTGGCTAAGCTAATAACACCTTTCTCTTCATTCACTGTGTAAAAAAACATGTCCTTTGACATTGCTAAATCAGAATCTTCCACTCCCTTAGCTACATGCATGTGAGGGTGATGCATGTGTCAGATATACATGTGATTATACTTAATTGCAAGGAAGAAAGAGCTTAGTTGTACTTACTCCCCAAATAACTCAGGTATTCATTCTCTTTGAGCCTTGATTAAACTTTTTTCCCCCCAGCTTTGATGAGTTTGTATATCAGAACACTTTCCCTTAATTTCTTCCATTAAGGCCAGGCTGTTCCATCAATTTATTTAACAGTTCTTATTTCTCTGACTGTGGAAAAGAGATATTTCCGTTTATCAGATCTAGTGATTGCATAACTGACTGTCCAAGCAGACAAGAAATATATGGGAAAAGTAGTGACTTCTGACTGAGGTCTTGTAAAATTACTTCATTCACTGATCATGACTCTATAGGATGAAGGCAGGATATAAAGATGTTTTCCTAGTCCACATACTTTAAATCATTTCATCTATATGACTAGTGTTGAAACCCTCTGAATTCCTTCCACAGGAGAAGTAAGAAGAACTCTAGAAGAACTCATCTCAATAATGAAATAATTACAGTCTGGCTGAAAATGACCACCTTAGATGTATTAGTAAAAGATATTACACCTAACTATGTACTCTGAAAAAAAATTTTGCATTTTTGTATTGACTTTTTTCAACTCTTTGCAGTTTATACTTCTGATATGACTAGGACATACATAACTGCTGCCTTTTGGAATAGGGGCAATGAGGTGTCATGGAAAGTATATTTGGCTATGTCAGATAGCATGGAAGAATCAGATTAGTGAGTAAAGCTAACCCTTCTGTATCTGAAACAGACAAAAGCCTAAGCAGGTCAAAAACCTGCAAATGGTTTTTTGAAATCAGCTGATGTATTTGGAGACGTGGTTCTAGCTTCTCATATGCAAGGCCTTTTTTAGTTCAAACTGGAAGCATCAGGCCTCAGACTGAATTTGGGCTGAAAATTCATTTTGGAATTTAACTTGGTCATGTCAATTACCTGGGAAGTCTGAGAAATTAACATGTTTTGTACTATGGGACAAAAAAGGCAATGACAAAGGAAGGCAAGTCTAAGATCACTGACCTGGAATGGGAGGACTGCGAGGCAGAAGGAAGGAGGAATCAAGAGAGACAGTTGGATTAAGTGCCAGGAAATTAATCCCACTCCCGCATCTGAATTTTTTTCTTTCACTTCTGAAGATCAGCACAAGGTATTTCATTTAAGGACCCAAGTGCCCTCATGGAAACTGTGACTGAAGCCAAACAAACACTCTACAAAATAGAGAACTTATTTTGAAGAGAGAACTACATAACATCATCTAAAGAAAGAAAATTCATAACTCTACTGAATATTGAAATATGGTCTCAATCTTGAGTTTATGACCCATTAAAAGTCGCACCATTCACAAGTAACATATCCATCAGAGATACCTAAAGTGACTAGTTTTTCTTTTTTTATATTTAAATTTTGTGAAATATTCTTTTTATACATGTCCTTCATTGCTTATGTCTGATTGCATAGACAATCAGAGCTATATTCCTATTGCTACTGTCAATCCTTTGCTGAATCAGAGAGATTCCTAAAGAGCAGGCTCACAGTTAATAGTTTGGGATGTACACACTGGGAATCTTCTGCAAGGTACATTTGACGAGCATGCACTCACCAAGGGTGCTGCCATACAGACATTAGTTTCATTGGAGCTAACTGCAAAGTGTGTAGGCAAAGAAAGAGCAGCTCTGTACTTGACATCTCCAAGATACCTAAGTAAATACGGGGCCTCTCAAACAGATCAAGGTCCTTTCTTGACTAACAGCATGTGAAGGAAAGGAGTCTGCAAAGCCCTCTGTGTTAGGAGGAGCTTCATAACTGCATCATATCTCATTCTGCTGATTGCAAGGAGCTTGGACAAAGGAAAGCTTCATGGTGCTGATGATTAAAAAGCTCGGGCTGCAGCAGAGATAAATCATTGAACCACAGAGTCATTAATATTGGAAAGGTTCCTCTCATCCTATCACTTATGACGTGAGAGAATGACTCCACCTGGTACAGCTTTGTTTCAGGGAGTTGTAGAGAGCGATAAGGTCTCCCCTGAGCCTCTTGTTCTCCTGACTGAACACCCTCACCTCACCGAGCCGCTCCTCATAAGGCTTGTGCTGCAGCCCCTTCCCCAGCTTCATTGCCCTTATCTGGACCTGCTACAGCACCTCAATGGCTTTCATGTAGTGAGAAGCCAAAACTGAACATAAGATTCAAGGTGTGACCTCACCAGTGCTGAGTGCAGGGGGACAATCACTGCCCCAGTCCTGCTGGCCATGTTGCAATCTGAGTATCTTTCTCTAATATGATTTCCAAATATTACATTTTGGTACTCTGCTGTAATCAGATATAGTTATTATATGTCTCTTAATGCTGTCTGAAGTTAATTGGAGTCTCTACAGATTTGAGATTCATACAGGTCATGCTGTTCCTTTGTGAGCAGGGGCCGTGCAGTTTTGATGGCTCTCCTGCTGCACTCCTGAGGTGTTCTCTGACTAAATCAAAGTCTGTCATTTTATAGAGTTAAGACATGTTGCTTTCACTGTGAAACAGGCTTTGGGACCAGGCAAGCAAAAAAGGAACAGCAGAGAGAAAACATTTATTTTGTTCAGGTGCCAAATGTACAAAGCAAAGCAACACAGAGTCCCCAGGCAGGTGCAAAGGAGAGCTGCTTTATTGCAAAAGCCAGGCCTTTTTAAGCAGCCAGGCCTTTATCAGTTACATAGTTTCAAATAATAACAAACATAATCCAACCAACCACCAAACACTAAGATGTAAACATGTAATGGTTATATAACTTGTTTTCTACTTCTAATTCTGCTGAGTCACTTTGGGATAGTCCTCTTCTACTTAGCAGGCCTGAGCCATGAATTTACAAAGGTAACAAGGCCCTTATTTTATAAGGCATTACCTATATGTAACAATATTTGACAGATGTTAGCTTTTACTTCCTTGACAAGCAGAAAGAGGGGTGCAAAATTACTTACAACTTGGAAAGCCAGTCCTCCTTTGTTAAGTGTGTACATGAATTTGCATGGATTTAGGGTGGTTGTCCAGACACTGCAAGCTCAGAACTACATTTTCCTGCACGCACAGGTCTGCCAGCTGCTTCTTTCCTTATCTCCTTGAGTTAATGCAGAAATCTGTTTTATCACTGGGCTTTTTTTGATCACTGGACAGTTTACCTTTTTCCATGATTGACCTCAATACTGCTTTCAGAAGCTCCTGTTGAAACATCAGTGATGGATGATTGCACAGAACAGTATTGTGACCTCCCTTCCTTGGCACAGACAGTGGCTTTGTGTCCTCCAAAATCTGAGCTGCAGTATCCAGGAACAAGCTGCATTATGAGAACCCTAAAGGAAACACTCAGAGGAAAACCAGTGGAAGCTTCAAGAAATGGACCTCCAAAAAGATCTTATCAGCTAGGGGGTTGAAGAGAAGACTTCTCCGTTTTTTTCTGCCATGCTACCAAAAATCTACTTGAAAGAAAAAATCTCCAGAGTTCACAGTGTGGGCACCACTGACATGTTGATTATTTGTTGCAAATTTCTCTGCCTTTTTTTCACGGAGATTTTACACACACACACACACACATGCACACACACAGGATTTGGATTTGTTTTGAATTTCCAAACAAAGCATAACACATAGAGGTTCTATTTTAGGGATTCATGCTAATGTCAGCACAGATAATAGCCTGGAGACATGCCTTCATTTTTATTTAATCCTTTTTGAAGAAAGTCTAAATTTAATCTCAAGTATATGCAAAGAAACCTCTATTATAGAAGCAGTTAAGAGATATGGTTTATTTTCTCCTTGGCTACATCCACTGTTCCTTTTCCCAGCAATGCATCTATATTTCTTTTTTTTCTATTGATGTGATGTACTGCCATGCATTATGAAATGTGTGTTTTCTGTTATGATCACTCAGGTAATATCTCTAATGCTGGGAATATGAATCCAGAATGTTCATGTTTCTGTGGAGAATACTAAAATACTGTGTGCCCTGGGATACCATAACTAAGTTTTTTGCAAAGTATTTCATTGTTTCTGTTCCTTCCATTCATGTAGAAATATGTCTGCTATTGAATTGACAGGCAACTTTCTCAAGAAAATATGAGTCCCAAGCAGAATGTTCCTTCTGACTTCAAGAAGAGTCATGAAGGTAAGGGTTCAGAGTGAGATAATTTATATAGTATGTTTTATATCTGTATTATTTCCTATTATTTAAATGTGGATTTACATCACATTGCCTTGCATTCCAGCTGGAAAGTCTTTGCTTACTACATATAAAAGATCAATTTCTTCCTTATCTTATGTAAGTTGCTATGTGGGGCCTATGAGCAGCATTTGCAAGCTTAGAGTGAAGATCTCACACTGTAAAGAATAAAAATGCATGTCTCTTAAAAGTAAAAGATGGTTTCTTCTCCAATAGGACTGTAATCAGAGTGAGAACAGAAAATTATTAGCTGTTTCTGTTTATCTTTCAGCATTGCATTATTCCAGTAAGACTGGAGAAAGACAATGCAGTTATGGTAAGTAACTTTCTAGAGCACAGAGGGGAATGTCTTTCTAGAGCACAGAGGGGAAAAAATTCTTGAAAAACTTTCTTGAGTTTCTCTACATTATCTCTAAGTGAATAGAGTATTTGTAGGCTTTTACTGAGAAAAAAAGGATTTTTAAGTACCAAGAATGTTTATACAAACTCAATAAATGGGCTGTTATGTTAAATAAGTCTCAAAACTAAACTTTGCTGTATGTGCACATTAATGTGAGCATTCCAGAACTCCTTGATCACTTGTCACACTTCAATAGACTTTTGCCCTCCTCTTTCCAATAACCTCAACATACATTTGTTTGTGTGGAAAAACCTTTAAACTTTTCTGGAGTTTAATCAGCTTTGTTTAAAGCTTTGTCTTCAGCTCAATAATGGAGTATTAAGGAGCTGCTTAAGAGATGAGGAGTTTTTATAAAATATCTGCTTGTCAGAATATTTAAAGTATTTTTAAAGATCTGTAAAGATGTAATTTTTTTTGTTTTTGGTGGTAGCAATGCTTTCTGTTGCCTTCCTCATTCTCAAATTATCTGAGGGCCACATTTGTAAATGGTGGAAAGGTTTTGCTACCCAAGGAGCCTCATGTTCCCGCAGTTGCTGATCTCATGCTGCCTCTAGGAACTGTTGTTGTGCCAGATAGAGTCCAGAAGTACTCCTGGGCTGGCTGAGTGGCATCACCATTCTAACTGCATGATACTTTTATTCTAAAAATACCTCAATTAATTTTACTTTGAAATTCCTCTTCATTTTTAAGCTAGCAGTGAGACAACTTTATTAAGTAAGGCATACACAGAATATAGAGAAATGTTTTTTCTCATTTGTAGGGGGGTTTTTAAATACCTTCTCTGTGTTAATGTGTAAGTCTCTATTCCCCTACAAAGCTAGCCCAAATTCTGTTCTTTCATTGGAATATCTTCCCTTAAATTTTAATCCATGAAACGGAGTTCTCAAATTGCCCTGTTTTGTTTCTTGGGGCAGATATTTCAAAGTAGAAATAAAAATATTTGCATCATTTTTTAGTCTTTTAAGCCACAAGATTTTTTGAGCTATTATAGTAAAGGAGATTCCTCTCTGTAATATTTTCTGAAGTACCCAGTTTAAAGTATGTACTAATGAATATATGTGTAAAGCAGTTTTGAATGTGTTATACTGTAAATCTGAATCCAATAGGCTGGATTAAAATATTTGTCATAAGAAGGTTGCCATAAAATATTCTCATGAGTAATTTGGCAAACACTATGAAATAAAGGACACATTTGAGCAAATAGGATTTGATTGTGGAGATTTCATATACAGGAAAAGAGCTGGAATTTGTAGATATAGGAATTTTAATAAAACATTCTTCCAGCTGTACTGCAAATGACCCCATGGGTCTTGATATCTCCATGTGACTTGTTCTTATGAACAGTAAGAGTATGTCTAACTTATTTTGATTTTTATTGGAAATTACACTTGTACATAAAGCCTGTACACAGCCTGGTACCTAAGCAGGTTATGAATTTTGGCCTACCTCTTCTTTAAGTTTCAGTTAACTAACTAGAGACAGATCTCCCAGACTTAATCCTTCCATTTTCAAAGGCTTACCCAGGCTTTGAATTTTGTAACTAGGACTTAAATGATTGAACACTGAATGTTTAAAACCCCTCCAAGGCCTACAGATTTCTCTCAAGTGCCATTACAAACTCCATTAAAACTTTGCAGCAGGATTATGAGTCTCAAATCATTAGGCATTAAATATCTTGCCACTGTACATGGTATCAGTCTGCCAGAAGTTGCATGTTGTTCCAAAATGTTCATACAGTTCACTTTTTTTCTTCTTTGATATGTTCTTCGAACAGATAAAGATACCCTATCTCGTATCAGACAGATCTTCACCAGTCCACAGTTGGACCTGAATCCTCAGTTTAACCCAAAGATCAGAGAATACTATGCAGAAGTGCCCTTTGACATGGTGACAGTGAAGATAGGAGCAGAACCCTCTAACTGTCAATGCCATGTGCACCTCGACAACAAGAAAGGGCCAAGGTATGAGCAACAAAATATGAGTGCAAAAACTTAATTTTGGAAATATGTTATAATGTTCCAGAATTTTTTTCTAAGGCAGAGAAATGAAATAATTTAAATCAAATCATTAAATTATTTAAATGTCATTAAATTCTTCCTCCCAATATTTTCCTGTTTTGATGTTAACTGAAGTTAACATGAAGTCAACATGAATATATGTGAAAAGCTCAAAGATTTCTTCCTTGTAGAATGAAAAAGAATAGCAAGATGTTCTTTACACTGAAAAGCAAAAGCCCTGCATGTGCAGTTCTGTGCCTTTCAGCATTTATTTGCCTGCTAAAGGAAGAAGAGCACAGCTCAGCTTTGCTCTGGTCTGTCTCTCTGAGCAGCTTGTCTGGGAGTCCATCACATTTGGCTAGTGGACAATTTCAGCAGCTAGCTACACTTCTGATTGCATTTCTCTCATTAGGGACAATAATTCCTGGCAGGCCCAAATTTGTGATGTCATCACAAATTTGGGCCTGCCAGGAATTATTGTCCCTAATGATTTCATTCACAGATTTCATGTCAGAATATTTACCACAGCCACTGTTTTCACTAAATTTCACTCTCAATGTTTTTTCTTCTTGAAAGATCTTCAGATAGTTACAAATCCTATTTTGCACTGTTTTTATTTAAGCTCATGTATTTTGTAAGAAAAAGAAAATGTTAGAAGTAGCAGACTCTAGGAGCAAGAAAAGTTTAGCAGCCACAGATAAAAGAGTGTAAATCTTTGTTTCTTTAGTGTTTATTGCACTTCTTTCCTGTTTTGTCATACAGCATTGCTAACTACCCCCTTGGCCTTGGGCTGAACAAAGTCATCATTCTTATTACGGATGATTCGCAGCCCAGCCCTGAGATTGTGAGCAGCTACAGAATCACAATTTATCGCGAGGACCGCCCCAGCCTCCCTTTGTTTGATGACTACATGATGTGTGGCTTTGTGCAGGTATTGTCTCTGCATTCGTTTGCTATACACATTAATGGGAATAGCTGGTTTCTGTTCATCCATGGTATAAATTAGTTTTTGTTGAGATTGTCTGAAATTCAGCATTTATGCAACATTTTGGATGTAAAAGGCAAGCCCAGTATAAGTACCTGTTACCATATACTTGAGAGCTCCAGGTTAAGTAATCCTTACCTTGGTCAGCCAAAACTTTCTTATAATTTATCATAACTGTCTTTCTCTGACATTGGAGCCATGGAAATCCTTTTACTAGGAAACATATTTATGACAGTCTATTTATCAGTGTTCAAGATAAATGCTGCTACATAATTTATGAATGAAAAAACTGTTTATTCTAGATCAATAAACACAATAAAAAAAGCCTCACTCATAATTCCAAAGGAAGGGATGACTGTTGCTTACATCAGATCTATCCAAATAAAAATTTGGGAATGCACATAATTTACTGTCAATAAATAGCAGTCCTTGGGAAGGAGTGGGTCTGGTGAATGAAAATAGGAGCAGTCTATCCAATATGGCTTAATAAAGGCTGGGAAAGGGGAGTTCAGGCTAAATTAGACTCCAAAATGGAAGAAAGCTAGCGAAAGTAACAGTGAAGATATCAGTTGATGAAACTATAGTGATAAAAATATTATGCATGAGAGAGAAAGCCTGGAACACATGCTGGATCAGAGCTGTTTGTATTCCAGAGTTTGAGGACTAAATGTTGGCTGCTGCTTGATATGATGGGCAAAGATAAACCAGGCAGTTCAAAGCAGGAAGTGGCATTATAAATGGTAATCACTGGCAGTGCATTTTTCTTTGGAGTTTTAGGCAGATTAAAAGGATTGATGGGTTCATTCCAGAGTAATATTTTACTCATCCAGGAGTAAAATATTTTGTCACAATTAATTCTGCAACCAGGAAGCAGAATTTTCAAAGCTATTGTGTTGAAATTGTCATGCTTGTTCATGTCAGATATCTAATCCTATCCTTATTTATTTTCTCTATGAATATCTTAGTATATTCTTTAGCAAAACATGTTTCTCTTCCCTGGTTTCCTTCCATATACTGCAGAAGAAGTTGGGAGGCTAGGGTGGTAAAAGGCAGAGCATTTATATGGTAGGGATGTTGTTTTTCTTGTGGAGAAATAAGCACTAGGGCTTAAAACAGCAGTCAAAGAGATTATAATGTTGATAGCAAATTCTATGTTGACAGTAATTATCTCAATCTGCAAATCAGGACTGCCAGAGAAAATGTAGATAGTAGTCATAGTGTACTGAGTGGTGACCTGAATACCTGATTATGGTGTTGTCTGGCCCTCCACCTATTCTCTGTCTCTTCTCTTAGACTTCTCTTACAAGCTCAAAAGGTCAAGGACCATCTTCTTATATTTGCACTGAATGAACCCTACATCTAGTAGTTGCTACAGTAAAATAAGAATGAACACATATAATAGTTGAGATTTAAGTTCAGTTGTACAGAAACCTGCTTGGCATCTCAAGTATGACAATATGAAATGGAAAACAGCAGTAAACTGAACTAGAGTTATATTACTAGGAGAACACATTGTCTGGAAAGATGTGAAGAAAGCTCTTTTTGTGTCTTTATTTGGGACAAGTATCTGAGTGTAGGAGCAGGAATTCAACCTCAAAAATATCTTCCGACACCAGAGTTTACACTGCTGTTAATGTTTTATTATACCATTTATGAGACTGAGTGTGAATCTTTGAAGCACTGTGAAGGCAAAGAGATCTAGACTGATAAAAGTGAAAAGTGTTTTAGAAATTTCTTTTGATTCAGATTGGTTTTCTGCTCCTCTGTGAATAACTACCCTCTAGCTAATACAGTTGTTCAGAGCTAGGGATGACTTCAGGAGTTTAGAGTAAAAATAAGATGAAAAGCATTCTTGTGGTATCTAATAAGCACTGTGAAGATACAGTATGAGATTCTAAAACAACTTTCAGATATGTTAGAGGCAAACTTATCAGAGAGTGCCTTTAAAAAACAAACAAAGGCTGGTGCTGGAGATAAAAATGGCATTCTAAAACATTTAAAAGGCATTTTTTTCCTATTTGCTAGAACAGAATGTATTGTCTGTTGCTTAGAATGATTTTTTTAATCAACACAAAACTCAGGTCTTAAACAGCATCATTACATTTTGCTCTTCATACCAGAGAAAATTATGCAGCCTTGCAGAGCCAGTTGATACACCCCCATCAGTGGCATGAATACTTGTTCTCTTAGTAATGAAACCCTGTTTTAGGAGAAAAAAGATAAATACAACATGAGCTGATGGAGTCTTTGGACACTTGAACACTTGACTAGGCACAAGTGGGATCACGTATGAGGAGGGAAAGGCCACTGATAGTGGTGTGGTCTTTCTCATAGAAGGCTTCAGTTAAAATTCTAATCCATCAGCTTTTTTTCCTCACTTTCTTTTAAGTTTAATTTCTTTAGGATATTCAGGTTTCATTGCAAGATGATACTATAAGGAAGCTTACAATAAAAAGACAGAGGGTGGGATGTAGTTTCCAACAGTCTAGAAATTCTCATGCAGTTGAATAATCCTGGATTAATTTCAAGGTATTGAGTTGAGAAGTGTGTGGTTCCAAGCCTTGCAGCCCCTAAAAAGGGAAAAAACCATTGTCTCCTGTACTTTTTGATAGCAGCTGTAATATCCCCATTAAAACCAAATTAGTGGAGGATAAACTGTCATCTCACAATTGCACCTTCAACAGATTTGGTTGCCTTCCATTTTGTGTTCTGCATTTTGACAATATTGTTTGGACTGCAAATGGAGAGGTTATTGATTTTTTCTTGAACTTAATTTTTTTGCATTTTTTGACAATATTCAAATTAAGTCTCCTTGAAAGAAGTGGTGCAATTTCATTATCACCTCTGAAACTGTGATATGGAAGATAGTCAAAATCCAGGGCAGTCAGCAGAAAAACCAGTGAGCTCTTAAGACAGAGTTATCAGCATCACTCTCAAGTGAAGGATCCCAGACTATGTACATGCTGTCATAAAGGACAAAATATTTTATTCATTCTTGCACTGTCCATTATCTTTAAAATGCAAACAGATCTATCTATGCCTCACTTGAAATGTGTGAATGCTGCCTCTGATTGTTAATATTTGCCTAGCTGCAATCATGGGGATTAACTACTGATGTGCTTAGGGAACCTTTCTTGACCCTGTGAACTTCTGTATCTATTTGTACCTACAGTGTCCTGTTGCCACATGACTTGTTTTGTTTCTTTGTTTGGACAGTTGGTTGGTTGTGGGTGAGTTTGGGTTTTTGGTTTTTGTTGTATTTTAATAATACAGATACTTATTTGGGTTTGCGTTTATATTGAAAGCAATGGATAGCTAATGCTATAGTTTATAGCACAGTGTGTTTCATTCTCTTTCATTTTCTTTTGTGCATCTGTACATTTGATTCCAAAATCAGTGCAGTGCAGTGGGCTGATGTTCTGGCCGTCCCACAGCTTTTGCAGATCTGACAGAACGAACTTACAGAACAGCTTCAAAAACTTTCCTGATTTTTGTAGAACATCTAATGCTTATGTATCATTATCTCTTGTATTTTTGTAAATCCTTTTATCATATTCTTTTCCTGATACCTTAAGAAGCCAAACAGAGCTTATGACATAGCATTGCTGACATATAACACTAAACAGCTGCAATGCAGCTGGAAAGAAGATGCTAGCAACAACATATTTATTTCTCTGTCTGTCTACTAAACTTCCATTGATCAAAAAGCAATTAAGACCTAAGACTAGCATATTAACTATATTTAACTTTTGTATAAACTTTTTGGAGTAGAGATGAAAAAAATCTTTAGAAAGAAAGAAGCCTTAAAAAAAATAAAGGAAATAATTCCTTTTTTGTGTTCAGGAGAGAGAATACCTAAATGAGAATACCTATTTTTTTCAGCTCAATTTATACATTTCCAAAGGAAGATAGAATGGTTTTACTTTGTTTTAAACTTTGTGCTGTTGCCGTTGCAAAGCTTTTCATACAGACAGTAGAAGTAAAAACTGTCAATTACAGAAACACGTATTAACTCTTTGCCTAGTACTTCATGCAAAGATTTCAAAAATCTTGCAAATATTAAATAACGTCAAAAAAAAAAACCAACAAAAACAACCAAAAAAAAAAAAACCAACACAAAAACAATCAAACAGCTTAGGAGAGAAACAAAGAGCTTCTCCTGTAGCAGGACAGGCTGCATGCACACTAGTCCCTTCTGAATTTCCCATTTGTTTCATTAGATTCAGTGTGACCACTCTTACAAACAACCCATCTCTTCTGTCCTAAGGACATTGTAGATGCTGTGAACAGACACTTGGGTTTTGCTGGGGTTTTGTAGCAGCAGCTGAGAATCTTAGCAGTTCTGAGTTTGAGTGTTTTGCTTGAAAAGGCATGGAAAGTGCATCTCTGGAACTACAGTCCAATTATATCAGCAACCAGACTGTATGTTATTTGCAAATTTAGCTTACTTCCCTTTTAGAGGAAAAAAAGGCTATCCATTATGGGAGCAATCATGCATTGATTCTGTCTGCCTTCTGAGGTATAGAGCTGGTGAAAACTTTTTTTTTAGTGGTTTTGAATTTTTCAGAAAACAACATAAAAATGCCCAAGACATCAAAAAAATAGTTTTAGTGGGTTTTTGTTGGTGGTGGTGTTATTCAAAAGAGAATGTTTTGATTCAGTGAGGACTATTTGACTTAAAATTTTTAGCATTCAGAATTTGTATTGGTGTAACTGTTAGATATTTTATCCATTGTGTAGCCCAGAATGCTAATTCTTTCCAAGGAGGGAGTGGCTGGGACAACCAAAAACTCACTCATTAGATCTGAAATAGCCAAGTCTAAATTTTCCTCAGAAACACTGGTGAGAGCACAGTATGACAGTCATGTTTTCCAGGAGTAATGCCAACTTAAGCATCCCTTTCCCTGCCTGCAGCTACTCATGAACCAGATGGGAAAACTTTTTTT